GGCGCAGGCTTTTTTTTTTTTGCTCGGGCTATGGGTGCTTGCTAAACAAAAAGGCGATATGGAGGCTTAATCAGACCTTGGGTCTACACCTAGGGTTGATGTAGACATGCGTCTAAACCTCCTTTGCCTCTGAAGCACGATCTGCTTTCAGATTGCATTCCAGAATATACTAATCAACATGACACCTCTTTACCACCTGGTATAACACTATTTTTTTACCAACAAACATGTCACATGTGGGGCATTTGCCAGGGGCGGACTGACAACTCATGGGGCCCCCGGGCAATAGGGGATCATGGGGCCCCTGTGTCCTTGCCCAAACTCGAAAAAGCCTATGAAAAAGGTACCAGGGGCATCTCATGGGGCCCTCTACTGACCCCGGGCCCTCGGGCAGTGCCCGAGTTTCCAAATGGTTAGTCCGCCCCTGGCATTTACAGAGCTTCCCCATTTACTTGAATGTGTACCGCTTGGTGGGCAGTGGGTCTGCCACCCGCAAATCGCTACTGGTCAGGTGAACTATGCAGCGAGTTGTATACATCCACATCCACTGCCTATGCAGTTTAAGGCGGGGACAGTTGATGGGTAGCAAAAACACCCCAAGCCACTTCCTTCCCAGCTGAAGGGGAGGGGTTGAGGGGCAGTAAAAATGTGGCTGAATGAGAGTTTTTACTGTCCTGCCCTTCCACAATTGCCTAGGGGAGAATAGCGGAAATTCAGAATGACCCCTCCCCCCCAACCTCCTGAGACACGTCACATGTCCTTACAGAACCAGCCTGAATGTACACATGTCTTGTCATAACAGCGGGGAGCTGGTTTAAAACAGCCAAGATGGCGGTGAAGGAATCCAAAGTCCTGTGATGAACTCCAGTAGGGGACTGCATGCACAGTGAGCGGATGAGCTGTTTATTGAAACAGCAGCTTTAGTATGCGGTGTTGATTTTTTTTTTTTTTTTTTTTACAATGACTGTAGCAAAGCTCCATGCACACGGGGCATTTTAATAATGCTGGTAACGTAGCTGTGTAAAGTTGCAGTAAAAATGTGTTGTATTAGTGTTTAGCAGCATTTTACCGATTTTTTTCACGTTTGCATTTTTTAGCGTTTTTTTTTTTTGGTCAAGAAAAGTCCATAAACGCCAGTTTGCCGCGACTTACAGCGTTAGAGCGTTTTTACAGCTAAAACAACTCCCCTAGAAACCCACTAGTCCTGGGTTTTTTTTTTTTTCAGCCAAAAAACATTGATTACAGTCTATGTGTGTATGGACACATAGGATAACATGCTGGGAAGTTTACTGCCTGTAGAAAAAAACATCAAAAGCCAAAATCAGCCTCTGTAAAAATGTCCAGTGTGCATGAAGACTTAACTTGGATACTTTTGACCTGAACAACTAAAATTCCAGCTTCTAGAAGTGATACATTTGAAGTTTATCTAATTACAAGAACAAAAATTGTTAGTGTTGCAGCTTTCAGGTCCTTAGATGTGGTGGCTACATTCCTTTCCTTATTTCAAACCTTTTTGCCTTTATTTTAACCTGGTAATCCTGCCATTAGCTCACTTACTGCCCTAGGATGACAACTGTACTGAGCACTGTTGTCACCTGAGGACAGGAAGTGTGTTAGGACTACATAACACCTCCCTCTCTTCTTCATAGCAGGGGGAGCTGTTTTGTAGTCCATGTAGATAGCAGGAAAGACTGCTGATAATAGTCCAGAGGCAGAGACAACAGGTAGTCATCCGCTAACAACATTTCTGGACGAAAGAAGTGATTTTTTTTTTTTTTGCACTTGTTAAACAGACATAAAAAACACTTTCAATTATATATTTAAAGCAGAACTACACTTCATCTAAGCACCACAACACCACAATATTTAATTCATTTTTAATACTCAAAGCAAACTCCCCCATCCATCCACGTCTCCAGGCTTTATTTTGTTGAGAAATCATTTTGAAAAACACTCCCCTAGCATCCTGGCTGTGGCCATCTTGCATAAGGGCAGATGATTTATGTAGCATTTACTTCCTGGAATCCATCTGCTCTTAGCTCAGGCAGGCAAGAGGGTTTGCTTAGCTAAGAAAACCCCTCCCCCCCTCCTGAAGCCTCCTGGGATGTATGGCATCATTTGCCTAGGCATAGAAATGAGGACGTAACTAAAGAAATGTAAAAAGAAGTTTAACCACTAGCCTACCAGGCACTTTTACCCCCTTTGTGTCCAGTCCAATTTTCAGCTTTCAGTGCATTCACACTTTGAATGACAATTGCGCGGTCATGCACCACTGTACCCATATCAATTTTTTATCAATTTTTTTCACACAAATAGAGCTTTCTTTTGGTGGTACTTAATCACCACTGGGTGTTTTATTTTTTTTGCACTATAAACAAAAAAAGAGCACTGATAGTCAGCACTGATGGGCACTGATGAGGTGGCACTGGTGGGCATTGATGAGGAGGCACTGATGATGCTGCACTGATATGCAGCAATGATGGTCACTGATGGGCAACACTGACTGATGGCACTGACAGACAGCACTGATGGGCGGCACTGATGGGCGCAACTGCTTGTACAGAACTGATGGGTGGCACTGATGGGGGCACTGCAGGGCACTGATCATCAGGGCACTGATGATCAGTGCCAATCTTTTCTGTCACATTTGCCGGTTATCGGCAGTACTTTCCTCACGCTGTGACAGCATGATAACCGGCAACATGTACTCCATGATATGTCATTGGGCACAGCTGATCACGTGGTAAAAGGCCGCTGTGATTGGCCTTTTACTTCATCATGTGATCAGCTGTGTCCATAGGAGACGTCCCTTATCAGCACAGGCATTCTTGGTAAAGGTGAACTAACCATTAACCAGACTAAAGGGAGCAAATAAAATAATTGTATAGTTAGAATTTACCCACACACTTTAAGGTTCGGTTCACATCTGTGCAGGTGGTGCCGCTGCGGATCTGCACAAAAACCCGTGTGGCCGCAGCACCCACACAGAAGAATGCGGACCCGCAGGCAGGTGCCATTAGTTCTAATGGCACGCCACTCGCACTGGAAATCGCAACCGCACTGGGAACCAAGGTTCCCGTGCGGGCTGCGGTTTCCAAAGAAGTGCAGGGACTTCTTCCCTGCGTGCCCCGGGGCACCGGAGTCCATTCAAATGAAATCATTCAAATCACGCAAAACGTGGCCCACACAACCGCATATATGTGAACCAGGGCTTAATGGCTTGCCGACCATCTCATGTAGGAGTTCCCCAGCAAGATGGCCTCTCTGCGCTGGACCACGTATCTAACACACGATCCAACTCTTCCAGACAGTGGGTGCACGCGCACCCCGGTTAGACTGTGATTAGTAAAAGAAAAAGCCGATCTGCGGGTCCTGACCAATGGATGATGGCCGGGACCTGCCGATCAGACAGAGCTGTGTCCTGTCAGCGGGAAAGTTGGATCTGAGCAAGAGGTTCAGCCTCAAAACGCATCAGCCATTTGGAGGCCTAGAGTCCCCCAACAGCCACCATCTAGGGAGATTGGACCGTGCTGTCTTTTTTGTGATGTGCCTTTGATTTTATTCTTTTGTGAGTATACTACTTTTTATTCAATAAATCTAACTTTTAGAAGGTAATGCACTAGGCCAGTGCACCCTCCTTTTGTTTCTTTGCCAGCGGGGATTTGCCTGTTCTCGTTTCCCTGCAAAGCGAGGAAAATCGGCACATCCCTTAGTAAAAGCAGCACACAGTACACACCAAGCACTGTTAGGCACACAGTTAACCCTTTGATCGCCCCAGATGTTAACCTCTTCCTACCCAGTGTCATTAGTACGGTGTCAGTGTATATTATGAGCACAGATCATTAGTGTTAGTGGAGATGTTATTATTAGTGTTACTGGAGATGTCAGTGGCAGTTAGTCAGTTCCCCCCAGCATCAGTTAGTGTTAGATTGCCCTCTACACTATCACAGCCTCACTACAAGCTGCTGATCACTGCCATTACTAGTATTAAAAAAAGACAAATTCCAGTATAATTACCATAGTTTGTAGGTGCTATAACAATAGGATATTTTTTTTAACAATGACAGGTAGCAGAATGCATTTTGGATTAAATTTATAAAGAAATTTGATGTTTTATGTTTTGTTGTATGTTTTATAACAGAAAGCAAAACATATTGGGGGGGTTTCACATTTTTTGGACTCTTTTTTGTTTGTATAATGAAAAATAAAAAACCCAGTGTCACGATCGCAGTGTCAGATCCCAGACCTTCTCACCAAACTTGTGACCGAAGGACTGGCCGATCCAAACCGCGATGTGACGTGCGTAACAATACCACGCCCAGCTGCGCCCTGCACAAAGATTTTCCAGCTAATGGACTACAATCTATGTACCTGCAACCTGAGCAATTGAGCAATAAACTAAGATATTTACGGAGAAGATGTAACTAATAATATATATAAATTATCAGCTCATCAGTGCTGCCTATCAGTGCAGCCTCATCAACACACATCAGTGAAGGAGAAAAATTACTTGTTTGCAAATTTTTATAAAAGAAAAACTTTTTTTTTTTTCAAAATGTTTGCTCTTTTTTTGTTTATAGCACAAAACATAATAATTCCTATCATGTAAGGAAACCATTTCTGATTCAGCCTCCTGGGGCTGTTCCCAGCAGGAAACTCCAGCAATGATGTGAGAGGGTCTCCCTCAGCCTGGAAACAAGAAGTGTTGCAGAACATTCTAGGATCCGCTCTGGCTTTAAGGGGCGTGGCGACCACCTTGGCAAGCCGCGGGACGGGGGCGTGGTTCGAGGCCGGATTGCGGCGCGTCATTGTGCCTGAGCGCTGTCTCCCGGCGTGCATTGCGCACGCTGCAGTTAGGCCACGTCCCCGGGCCACGTAGCTCGGCTCTCGCCATTTTAACGGATTGAAGTGAGCGGCTGCAGCGTCAGAGGCAGTCTGCGCGGCCCCGGGTCACCTGTGCCCTCTCTTCTTTCCCTGCACACCCGCCTCTCTCTCACACCATGAACGTTTTCCGACTCACCGGGGACTTGTCCCACCTGGCAGCCATCATCATCCTGCTGCTGAAGATCTGGAAGAGCCGATCCTGTGCCGGTAAGTGGTGCCCTGGAGGAGAACACCAGGTATTGGGGACAAACTTTCCTGTGCAGCAGACCTACCTAGAGGACTAATCCCACCTCTGGTCACTTACCTCCAATGGGAAGTATCCGGGGCTCCCAGGACTGAGCTGTCATTGGAGAACACCCCATTCCTTCTCTGCTCTATGGGCTTAGTGCAGACTTGATGGGGGTCTCCCGTCATCGGTCATCCATTGATCAGGTCTGCCATACATTGGACCATGGCTGTACTTCATAGTGTGCTCCTGTGCTGGTACTTGTAGTTCTCTGGGACCAATCAGATCCTCTGCTCTGTACAGTCTATGGATCTGGCCATACACTAGAACTGCTCATACGATCTCCTATTGTCTCCATTCATCCTTCAGCATCTGTCTCCAGCAATTTTGAATCTTTTTACTGTCTAGTTCTTTAGGCTTGAGTGTTTTTACTGTAGCCAATGGGAAGCTAGCTATTAGGCAGAGGAGAGGCAAGTGATTGAAGATTTGCGTTTATCAGTGGGGTTTTTTTCCCACGGCCCCATTTAAGTCCATAGGGACCACAAACGATGCAAAAGAACTGCCCCCCCCCCCCCCCCAAGAAAGTTGCATACTTTTCCAGCGATGCGCATTAAGCGGCGTTACATTCTGTCGTTTTGATGGTAATTCAGTAAAAAAAAAAAGCGTATGGGATGAGGTTACCAAATATGAGAACAGATCCGAGCAACCCATTTCAGTCAGTTCAGACGGGCCCCTGCATTTCATGGTTTAGTAGATCTAAAGGAGATTGTGTATGACTATACACTCTACAATCTGATTGCACAATCTTCTTTAGCCTATAGCTGGCCATAAATGGATTGAATCTCAGCTGGTTCAGCAGGGACCAGACAAAATTGCTTCCATCTATGGGTAGACTGGTTGTACTCAAGTCAGTCTATCGATCGACTTCAGTACAACCGGCCTGTTGGAATTTTTGCATGCAGTCACTGCTGACAGCTATAGCCACCAGCAGTGATCACTATGTTCTGGTGTGGAAGGCTCTCCACCGGCAGAACACAATGGTGCTTCTGACTGTTGATGGGGGGGGGGGGAATCAAGCAGGTATCTTTCCACCCATGGTGAAAGGAAAGAAAGCTGTATAATCTATGGCTTGCAATAAGCTGATCATAGACCTAAAGCAGTAGTAAACCTAAAAAATAAGAAACTCCTCCCTGTAAGTTAAAGCAGAGCTCCACCCAAAAGGGGAAATTCCGCTTTAAGCCTTTGTTCCCCCTTCCCCATTAAGGATTGGCACATTTGGGGAGCGGGTACCCGAATTTGACACGTACCCGCTCCCACTTCTTCGATTGCCTTGGCAAGCGGAAGTTGTCGTCCAAAGCCACCCCCCCCCCATAGTCTTGTGGGACACATGACAGGTCCCCGAAGACTACGGGGCCATTCACAAAGCGCAGTGCTTTTCGCACATGTGCAGTGGGAACCCGGCTATGCAGCTGCAAGCTGTCACAGCCAGGTGCCCACACTGAAGATGCCGGCTCCAGGAGAGAAGACGGCCGGTGAAACCAGTGGTGGTGAGGACACCGCTGGACCGAGGGACAGGTAAGTGTCTGTATTTTAAAAGTCAGCTACAGTTTTTGTAGCTGCTGACTTTTTTGTTTTTTTTTTTTTTTGTCAGGTGGAACTCCGCTTTAAGAGCATAGTGTGCTGGTATGCATTATGAAAGACTTACTATTTAAACAAAGCCCTCCAGCAGTGCACTTCTCACCACTGACAGGGCTTCCATCTTCACCTGGTCAATCTTTCTGGGTTTGTGGGCTCCGGCCGCTTGAGTGGCTATGCCGCGATGACGTCACATGCATGGGGGAGCCACAGCACAGCCTTCTCAGTGGACATGCGTTGAGTGCAGTGCACATGTGCGGGTGATGTCACCATCTTCTATACAAGTAAATATCCCCTAAGCAGTGCACATTTAGGAGATATTTGCTGTACCTACACGTAAACCTTTATTCTAGGCGTTCCTGTAGGTACAAACAGGACTTTGCTATTGCTTAAACCATGCCCATTGGAGATGAGTCAGCCTGTGGATTAACTCCTCTTAAACAGGACTTTGGAAGATTTGTGTTTGATCAGTGTATGCAGCCAATCAGCTGCACTGATCAATGTATTCTGGCAGTAGAGGTGTCAGAATACGATGGCACAGAGGAGAGGATTTCTCCATCCACCTCTAATATGTGGATGGTGGAATTAATTTGGGAGTTGATATTTTTTTGATCGGCTGGCTGATCAAAAAAAGAGCGGATCATCTATGACCAACTTTACTATCCTCTTTGCAAAGGCCTGCCTGATCTGATACAAATTAAATGGGTTCTGTTGGTGGGTCCTCCTGTTGCATAGCTTTTGTAAATGAGATTCTGCAATCAGATTGTACAGGGTTGAGCTTTAAGCTCAATCTGTACAATCTCTGTGAGATCTAACGCTGACTATGTAGTGCAAGGGCCTGCCTAGGGGGATACAAATTTTTAGGTTCCTTAGGTGCTCATATCCCATTGTGTAGTCAGATTGAAACATGTATGGTGACCTTTACACTCCAGTCATCAGAGCCAGTTTAGATAAGAGGTGGGGGCTGATGACTTAGCAGTGTAAATGAAGTGAAGCTATGTTCCCTCTGTATACCCAGTCATGTGCTAGGGAAAAATATTTAGGTGTTTTTTTTTTTTTTTTTAAATCTCCCCTGCACTTGGTTTGTTGTGTCCACAGCCCTGGCTAACCTGTTAAGTGAGCACTACTTATCCTTTAGTAAATTGGCCTCTTTTTATTTCATGAAAGCATACAGTATAAATGTAGATGCTGTCAGATCTGCTCACATATACAATATATGAATGCGCAGCATTTCTGGCTGGAGATATCAGCAGAGGCAGTCAATAGTATGCGAATTTAAAGATGCTTTGTACAAACCTAGCTCTATACTGAAAAGGTCTTTCCGCTGTCATTCTGTGTTCCAGAACATTATCATTAACCAGTAGTGCTGTGTGTTTTATGATGCTGTGCAGCTCGGGCAGAAGTATGCGGGGTGAAGGTTACTTGTGTGTGCTGTTCCTGATCTGTATATAATAAGATTCCTGTGCTTGGTGATGTGAATGGCCGGTGGTGTGCAGGCAGTGTGCTTCCCATGCCGTGTGTTCTTGTGCACGCTCCTCACTCTTAGCTGGAAGTCAATGAATCAGTGCTACACCAAGTGATAGGCTCTGGACTGTGTGTGGATCTGACGTGGCAGCCGGCTGTAAGGCGTGGTGAGCCTGTAATCCATGGGATGCCATTATTACATGTCGCTGCAGATGATTGAAATAGTTAGAGGGATCACCCTCACAGCCCTCCTCTCCTCCCGGATGTCACCAGACGTGTGCCACAGCCAGCTGGGACAATGTTGGTTTTTGGATGACTGAGCTAATAGTGAGGAGGATACAGCCACATCATCATCCCGGCTCTACCTGTTGCAGAGTCACCGAAAATCTATCCTCTTCGGTCTGATAGCATCTGATATATTTTCACATTGTAGATAGTCCAGCCTTTGTATTTTGTTTTTAAAGATCTAGCAGTGACATTAAATACATCCTTTGGGGATTTTGTAGAATGTTTTTTTTTTTTTTTCATTTTTTAGATTTGTTCACAATGTATGTGATGTAGGACAGTGATTAGGCTTTATTGCTAGGTTTTTGGTTTTTTTGGGGGTTTTTTTTAGCTAATGTATATTATTTCATGATAGAAGCAGGCTTTTTATGCTTCATTGCAGTGTGTGGTCACTTCCACTGAACTGTAACCGTTAAAAAAACAAATACATTTCCTCTTTTTCATTTAATAGTAAGAATCCCCCACTGTATGTTGTGTTCCCATTTACCAAGCATACCTTTAAAAAAAATTTAAATATTTCTTACATTTCTAGTTTATTTGGAGCAGGATTCTATATCTTACTCTATAGCCAACTTCCATTGTTTGGCATAGCTTGTATTGTGCAATTAGGGGACTGATTTAAAGACCGTTTGGATTAAAAGTGCCTTAAATCTGAAAGTAATTTTTGACACATGCCCAGTAAACATAAAGCCACACTAATGAAGTGTCCCCCATGTGTCTACGGTGCAGAGTTGTGTACAACTCCGATTTTCACTTCTCTATACAGTGCAGTCGGCAGCAAAGGCTACAGTTCTGGCTGGAGCATTCAGATCACAGAAGAATGCTCACACTCCACTTCCTCCATTCAGTACACGTTTTGCATTTGTACTACCAATACAAGGGGCTCTGTAATTGGAGGAGGGGAGATTGTGATGTTCACCCGTGGAGTGCCTTGCATGAGTTGGTGGGAAAAAAGATGTTTAGCATTTTTAGACTGATAGAAGTGATTACAGGCATGTCTTCTGTCCTTTAGGTAAATTCATACAATTCTTTCTTGCTACACCATCTTAGCTGTACTTGTACAGAGGTTTTGTTTTTTTGTTTTTTTTTTTTTTTAATTGCAGCCAAAGGAAGGAAATGTGAAAGTAAAGAAAATAAATGTTTTACAAATTCACATCTAAAGATTGACTGGCTGTCATGGTGATGCATTAGCTTTACTTCTATTTAGTCAATGACCTGGAACAAGGAATTCTGACACTTTTGTGATGCCTACTTATATTAGCAGTCAAAACACTGACACCAAAAACTGTTACCAGTTTAATATAGTAAATTTTGGGATGACTGGGGAGTTCACCGCATGGGAAGGAAATGTTGACCGTTGGTGTACAGATATTCTACCTTATTCGCTGAACAACTCAAGGAACAAAGTGCTAAGGGAGGTAGACTGTACCAACCAATTGAGTGCCAGACCAGAACAATATATTTTTGGATGGATTATTGGGGGTACTTTTTGCTTGGCATGTAGCTTCTTTCTCTGTTTAGTGAATAAGCCTGCTGGTGGCCTTTGCTCCAAAGGCATTCAGTAGGTATGTGCCTGCACTTAATGAGCTCAATGAAT